TATATATTGAGATAAAAATGTTTGAGTTTTGGTGTGGTTTATAAAGCACAGGGCTTGTGTCCAGTGTACAGTATTAGGCTTTTGTTTAAGGTTAGGGAGGGATTATAGTTTTGGTTTAATATTTAATAAGAATATTCAATATATTTTTGTACAAGTTTATACTTGGCACTGTGGTCTATGAGTATGTTTTGACTAATAAATGAAAACAAATCTCAATAGTGTGGAGAAAAAAGAGTACAAACCCTGCCTCGTGCTTTAAGTCAGCATTGCCTTCGACAAGACTTGGCATTGCAAATCAGATGCCTTGCATTTCGTTCCTGTCAGGTAGAAACCTTGTATCTCCATATTTGTCTTTTTTTATTAACACTAACAATGTACTAACAAAGCTAAATGCGGTATATATTTCAGTCCTGTGCAATTATTTATTTTTACACATTTTCCTCCTGCTGTGACCTGTGCAATGTTCCTTATCAGTCACATAATACAAAGCTGGATATAATGTACATACAACTCTTATTGTATTTTCATTAGATCTTGATCTTATTTTTCTATTCTATTTTTATTTAATTTGTGTTTTTTCTTTATCTACTGTGTTGTATTATATCTGGAGCTGCTGTAGCAAGTTAATTTCCCCCAGTGTGGGATCAATAAAGTCTATCTTGGCGCCCAGTTAGCTCAGTGGGTAGAGCTGGCGACCCAAATACCGAGGCTGAGTCCTTGCTGCAGCGGCCCAGGATTTGAATCCAACCTCCAGCCCTTTGCTGCGTGTCATCCCCTCTCTCTCTCTGTCTCTCTCCCCTTTCCTGTCTGTCTTCAGCTGTCACTATGATAAAGACAATAAAAGCCCCCCCAAAAAATTAAAATAATAAAGTCTTATTAACTATCTTATCTTATCTTATTGACTCTCCGCCTAACAGCAACAATTAGCAACAGCAAAAGTTAAAAAGTGCATATAGGACATGAAATATGGAGCGATATGGGACATGAAAATGTACAATAACATTAAGATCTATATTGTAAAAGACAAAATAGAAAAGCATAGCATAAGTTGTAATGTAAAACTGCTCTGGGAATAATGTAAGTACTAGCTGAGCTTAGCATCATAATGGGTTAATCATGTGCTAAGAATATGCTATCCATACATTGAACATGTATATACAGCTTATAATGTAACTTAACACGATAATTTAAGTACAAATTTGAGGTTCATTTGATGCAACTATATAGTTGTAGTTCCTGACTACAATTTTTTCTAATGTCAAGACCTCGGTGCTTGAAGCCCTGTGAGAGCACAGCAACATTACTGCCACCTGTGCCTTCAAGTCAGAGGCACAATATAACAAAGTGGCGTGTCACATAATGGCAAGGCGAGGCCGCGGAACCACTGATAATGTCATGATGGGGGAGCTATTGTGTTGCAGCTGCAGAGAGAGGAAAAGCGAGAGAGAGAGAGAGAGAGAGAGAGAGAGAGAGAGAGAGAGAGAGAGAGTGGTGACTCTAGACTGGTTCGCCTTTTAGAATGGATGTTTGGCAGGCGTGGCACACTGCAGCAGCACTGAACCAGCTGGCGTCCACAGACAGACAGACAGACAGACAGACAGACAGGAAGAGAGAGAGAGAGAGAGAGAGAGAGAAAGGAAGGAAGATAGGGGGGGATGCAAGTAGCAAGACATCTGAGAGACAGATGAAGGGGTGGAGAGAGAATGAGGCAGGGTGAAGATGGATGTAAAGAGAGAAAAGAAGGGGAGACAATCACACACACACACACACCACACACACACACACACACACACACACACACACACACACACAGCAAAGGCTTGAGAAATGTATCTGGCTTTGACTGACAGCGCAAAACCTCGCTGTGCAGGGCCGCACCACTCTCCCTCGCAGGTGATTCTACCGAGCATCCCATTTCTCTCTCTCTCTCTCTCTCTCTGTCTCTCTCTGTAGAACCAAATTGAGTTGTCATCTGCAGAGCCAGTGGTACCGAATTACTGCCACCTATTAAATTGTTGCTTCTCCTAATTAGCTTCCATGTGAACTCGGCGACTCAGCGTCCCAAAATGTGTGTCACTTTTATAATCCCTCCTGCAGAATAATTTAAATCGGAGGTAACTACCTTTAGGCTACGCCACGGCTGGAGTCATTTCCAGGCCACATTAAATGATAGGATCTGTAATAAGACTGAAATATAGCTCGGTTGATTGAGGCAGGTGAAGGAGAGAGCTCTTGTTATATTAATCCTAATGCGAAAATGATGGAAGAAAAATGAAGTCAGATAGCGATTAAATGATTAATCCCGCAAGGAGTCGCATGTGTGTGAGTTGCGTAACTAAAATCATATTGATGCATTTGTGCAATTATGTAATTTGCTAAATACTTCAAAGGGTGCAAATGCAAATTGAATACAGTGACTCATGGCTACTAAGCAGGTGCACACAAGTAGAGGCAGGATTATCACATTGAATCCTACCCCAAAACTAATTAAAACATCCTCAGACACAAGAGCTTTATCTCGTCGTCTTTATGAACAAGTTTGTTGTGTGTTTTAGAGATTTTGCTAATAAAGTCGGAACTTTTAGGGATGAGAGTGGAGGTTGCTATGGCATTCCTTGAGAGCTGCACAGTGTGGCCGACAGTGTGCTTATTCCTTAACTTAACTGAATAGGATGTCTGCCAAGCTCCTGAAGGACTCTCTCTCTCTCTCTGTGTGTGTGTGTGTGTGTGTGTGTGTGTGTGTGTGTGTGTGTGGAGAGATAGAAAAAAGAGAAAGAAAGGAGAGCAGTTCCAGCGGGGGCAGGATTTGCTGAATGGACAGAGTGACAGCCAGAGACTTCCTCTGTGCAGCCTGCACAGGGCCGCACCAGAGGACGGCCTGACTTGCTCGGGCTTCGCTCCTCAGCTGGTTGGCAAATTCAATTTTCATACTATATGGACGAGGACTGCGAGTCCTAGAGAGAGGCCACTATGCTATGTAGGTCACAGTTCTGAGGGGGAAAAGTACAGTAGATCCCCAGAACATATTCAGATAAATGCTTGCATCTAATAGACGATATCTTTAGTTGCCAGGGTCGGTTGATGGCAGAAAACACACAGGGAAAGTCATTTATTTCTTCCATTTTAGGACATAAGATGCTCAGAATGGATTGAAGTCAATGAGAAAATCTTTTTTTTGCTGAAAAGGTGATCGGAAATACTAAGTAAAGGAATTGTAGGTTTATTTTTAGCTGAGTCATTTGCTGGTATTTAACTGTTCCTCCTCTTCTTCACAGGGCTGTGTAATTTGGACTAAGTATAGAGGAAATGTAGAAAGTGTTGTTTTTGTTTAACCTTTATTTATTGGGGGGGGGGTTGCACTAGGCACCTGGAAGCTGCCTAGTGCAACCACAGTCTGATCTGCTGCCACTGAGCAGCAGTCAGGGTTAAAGGGCTTGCTCAAAGGCACCGCAGTGGAGGTAATGAGGGATATTGTAATTATGTTTGACATTTTAGGAAACTATTTACAGTGGTTTGTAACCTTTACTTTTGACCTATTTTAACCAATTGCACGCATCTATCAGTTGTTAACCAACCAAAGAGTTATTTTTGTTTTATCTGAGTCATATTTAGAGGCCTGAGGAGGAAAATTAACATTATTTTGTGGAGCAAATTTCCTCTTATTTTGCTTTCCTACCCAATAAATCATCATGCAACCGCTCAGGTTTATTTTGTCCAGACCCCCAGGTTGGGAACCACTGATGTAGTGGTTATATGGAAATAATGAAAGAGCATAAGAACCCATTAATATACAGAAACCTGCAAAAATACTAAACAAATTATCTTCTTTAACTATACTCACTCCAGATATAAACCAATAAGACCAAAATTCAGACATAGTGCTTTAAGTGACAGGGATCCACTGGATAACCCCAAGTCAATATTCATCTAGAAATGTTTCAGTTTTGTGTGTTAATTGTATATTAGAATGTTATTTTTCTTTAACCTATAGTAAGAGAGAACAGTACTTACCAATAAATAGTACCAATTAAAACATTTCTCCTTAAAAGGGATCATAAGTATACTGCCGTATTACACAGCTCTTTGTAGAAAATTGACTGAATTAAAATGGAAGAAATTGAATAATTTACCAATTACATACCGGCCTCTTTGTAGGAAATTATTAGGGAGATTTACCAAAGTCAATTTTAACAGTTGAAATCAAAACCCTTGATAGTTTAACTTCAGTCAGTATTTCTCTCTTCAGCAGATATTAAACAGCTCTCACACGTCTCCTTGAGTCTCCCTGGGGTGGCTTGTGAGTGTTACTCATTAACAATAAAGGGACAATTCCAAATGTCAGAGTAACCCTTAAATATCTTTCAAGCCTTGTTTCAGCTGAGTCATATGAGTTTCCAGGACAGGAAGTCGCGCCACTGCTTGCTCACACCATCGGCCACGGGGCCTCCTGATCAGCAGTGGAAAACCAGCCCTGACTGAACAAACAGGCTGATTTATGCTTCAGAGTAAACAGGGAGAAATGTGCAGGATGGAAAATGCAACAGATGTAATTATTTAAGTAAACTGTTAATATATTAAATGTAAAGAAATATGGCTCTGGTTTCATTCAAAATGTATTTAATTAATATTTTGGTTTCACTCTGACTCAATTTGTAGTTATGATTAAGAAATTAATTTGTCCACACTGTACTCTTGTGCCCCCATTAGTCTCTTTCCCTTCCTCTGTAAAATGTAATTCTTCATTTCTAAAATGAATAACGAGATATAAGAAATATCTTCATGTTAGAACTGGTTGGTTAGAATGTGCCACGGTTCCAGGAAAGCCTTCGCTTCGGAGTGAAATTTGAAAAGGAGAAACTTGAGGAACAAACCCACTTTGGTCCGAACAAATCAGCGCAATCAAACCCAAATGAAGCTGACCTTTTTATCCCTGTGCCGTTGAAGTAAACAGGCGGCAGAAAGCAAGGCAGTAAACAGTTTAATTTGCAGTAATTCCCTACCTCTCAGCTGATTCCAGGGCTGCAGGTGGAAAACTATCTGCTCTCCAAATAAAAGCTGACGGCCGGCCTGCAGGAAGAAAGCAAATGTCAGAGTAATTAATTTGTTTTCCTTTAAGAATAATAATAAAGGGCCAGTGGTGTGTGTTTCACAGGATGGACTGTGACTCCACACACACACACACACACACACACACACACACACACACACACACACACACACACACTCACACCTATATAGCGTTTTTTAAATTCAGTGTAATAAATCACTTAAGAGTCAGTGAACACACAGGCATTGAACGCATGCGTTTGTGTTTTTGCATGCTTGTGGTTGCTTGTGCATTCATTTATTGTCTATACAGAGGTGTGTGTGTGTGTGTGTGTGTGTGTGTGTGTGCGTGAGTGTATTGTCCCTATAGCCCATCTGTGCATGCTGCCTCCCTATTGACTGTGTCTCTCTCCCAGGCGGTGCGGCTGTGATGAGGTCCACTCTGCGTCTGTAATAAGCTCATTAATCATGCAGCCGTACGGCCCGCAGCTCCCCGTCTACATCCCAACTATGATTATCAGCATTGATTGGCTCGGGAGAAAGCAGCCGCCGCCTCTGGACCAATGGAGGCAGAGGTAGTTGGGGTGTAAAAGTGGACGAGCCGACGACTATCGATTTAAGCATGAAAGGAGACTAAATGGAATCCAAATGTTTTGCCTTAGAGATGAGACAGTTATCAGTGGCTCGAGGTGTCAAGAGGAGAAAATATCCACACAGGATGGACTGAGTGTGGGTTTTATTCAGGATATTGTGCCAGGACGTAGCTTAAGGCACACACGTTCTTTAATATTCATTTATAATGGCAACCTCAGAGGGGAAGTTTGAGAAACTGACTTCCTGTATAGAGGGCTGCAGGGATGGCGAAGTTAGCATCGCTCTGGTTCCTTCAACAAAAAGCCGATTGGATTTTTCTGTGGATTTTGGATTATTGCAGCTAACAAAGGTTTATGATACTTACAGCATACTCAGCAAGCTCTGATCTTCACAAATGAATATTTTTTGAAAGAATGCGATTGATAGAAGTAAAAAGCTAATGCTAGGCTATAAAGAAACTACACCACTGTGACATAACTGCAATGTCACCACCACTAAACATCCAACTTGTAAAGTTTGAGTTAGACTAGTTTGCAAGAGCCTCTGTTTGAAAGGCGGACTAGTGAGTAGCAACCGCTTTTGTTAGCAACATGTAAAAGCTTCAAGATTCACAGGTGGGGTATTTACTGGTATATTTTACACTGTAGAACAAAATGTGAAAATCTCTTAAGCTTGTGTTAACCATAGACCTTATTTTAGGGATATAACCAAATACCCATTTAAACAAACCCACTGACTTTGAGGCGAAGGCAGGTTCTAAAATGCTAACTCAGTTCCAGGTTTTAGGACTCACAGCACTGTACTGAGGAATTATTTTCAGAAACATAAAGAATGTCAGAATAATTAATCTTTAGAGAAATTGTTCAGTCAAAGGCAAAAGCAATTTATACAGTTCTACAACATGAATCCTCTGAAAACAATTTAGATATTTAAAAAAATCCTGAATATAATAATTCCACTCGACACTGGGGAGAAAATACTGAAGTACAGATTAACAAATATACAACACAGGGGGAATGTCAATGGAAAATGTGTTATTTTAAAACGGCTTATTTCAAAGTATAATAATTAATCCAACCTATGTTAGAGGGGTCTGGTATGAGATTTCACACAGAAAATATATTTGTTATATTTGTTCCAAACCATTTCATTCTGTGCATCCTTGCTGAACACACATCAGACAATACATTGAATTGTATAATATAGATTTTGCTTCAAATAAATTGTAAAATAAAATGAATAAAGCAGGGGAGAGAAAGCGTTAAAGTGGTCAAACTTTCAGCTGAAGACAGAAATACTCATAAACAGAACCTTAATCATTCACCCGTGTTTACCCAACTGTATCATGTCAACATGGCTGCTGTGAAAAAGGTATTTTATTTGCTTTCTCTGCAAAAATTATCCCTTGCCCTAGAACACATACCACTGCATACACATCACCACTTTTTATGAATTCATACCTCACTGTATTATCGCTTTATTATGTTGATTTCACAAACTGTTTTGCCAGTTTGTCTTATTATTTGTATGTTCTGTCCTATCTGAGGTTATAGTTGTGTTACAGTATGTCTCATGTCTTCTGCTATGTCATACTGCATTTACTAAACTAGATCTTATGTCTGTGTGAGTTGAGTGATGTATTCAGTTGATATATCTTTTTCCCATGTAGTTAATCATTAATTTGAGCACATTATACACATTATTACAGTCAGTCGGCTATATAGCAAAAAATCCAATATGTTTGTAAATAGGCTGCAATAATTGATATACTCAAGACACAAGAACTACCACAATTACATCATTTGAAACCAGATTGCCAGAAATAACTAAATGAATACAATATTAAAATAAGGCAAAATGATTGCCATTTAAATGCATAGGATTTGAACGTAATTACCTATTAGTCTACTGTGTCTATAGAATTGTGCTTTAATTAAAATATGTATAATACATTTGGCATAGAAATTATAAGGAATGACCTCAGCTTTCCACATTTCCAGCCCAACAGTCTGTGATAGTGAAATGTACTGTTGACCCTAAAGTCATACAGAGATCATCTGACTGATCACCACACACACACACACACACACACACACACACACACACACACAAGTTATATTTATGAAAAGGACACACACATACACAGGGAGGAATAGTTTACAGAGGCTTCACAGACATAATTTATATACCTGAAAGTGCTTCCACATTATAAGAACACTTTAAGTGTCAGTTCACCCACATTACAAATGAAACATGTTTTATTTTCTCACAGTATGAGATATCTGTGTCTGAGGCAGTGAACAGAGTTCAGTTTGTGGTCCTCACAGCATTGAAAAATCCAACAGTAGCCTTTCCTTCCAAAAACAATTTCCCTGTAACATGGATAATCCAATACATGAGAGTCTGGGGAAATGTGGCCCTCTCATCCCAAAATTATAACTATCAAATGCTTAGTTTCAGATTCATCCATAGATTTCATTTGACCCCTAGGAAACACTTCCAATTCCAGCTTTGCCCCACACCCATTTGCGCAATATGTAATAGTAATGAAGTGGGAACCTATTTGCATATAAGGTACTGCCCAGATGTGAAGAAATAGTAGTTGCACATGCTATTTGATGTAATAGTAAACCTATTTAACCTAATGTCTTACTTATCAATGATGATTCAATGATTAATGTTACCAAGACTTCTGACATAAAAGTGCCATCTCCCAATGGTTTCTATCATCTCTCTGATACGTTCTATAGCTTGAATCAATGGTGCGAAGGGAAATACAACTGATACCCTGTCTAGGACACTGAGAAAGTTATTTTGAGAAATAGTGACTCTGACTCGCCTTTACCATTACCAAGATATGGTCTACATCGTTTCCCTGTGGCAGTTTTTGTTCTCTGATATTTATAACTGATGTTTCTTTTGTTTTTTCTCTCTTAAATGTAATTATTTGTTTGTTTTTTTCATATTTATTTTATTGTTCAGTCTTGTATGGTTTTTCTGTGGATGTTGGGCCTTGGTTATTTTACCAATGTGTCATCCAGGGTGGGGGAAGGGAGGAGTGCAGGGGTGGATCTAGAGAAATATTCATGGGGTGTCCAGAGGGTTGCATGGAGAGTCTAAGGGGTGGCAGAAATATATGCTGATTTAATCTCAAACAATCACATATATCAATATTTGCTTGAAACGCCCCCAAATGAAGATTCTTGAACTTGAAAACATTATTGTGGCACATTAGTAAAGCTTTGAATAGAATTATCTAAAGGTAAATAAATTCCTTCTTCTCTGCCCCTGGAGAAGGGGGAATTTAAAGATTGGAAGAATGCTTGTATATTAGTAGCCTATTACAGATGTATGATGTCCTGTCAGTCTAAACTCCAGGTTTGAGGACACAGTTTTCACAGGAACTAGTTTCTTTTAATATATAGTCTCTATATCTTGATATATCAAACCTGGGCAAATCCAGTCAAAGCAGCAACAAGGAACTTTCATTTTGTGTTGATTCTTGCGGCCTCTGTGGACAAAAGCGGTAGTGTTTCTACCGCCTTGTTTAATTTCAAGGGGAATCCGACCGAATCCGACCGGGTGGCAGACATTAATAACTATATAGGAACAGCCAGTCTTCTCACTGATTATCTTGCTTGTTGATGTAGGTTATTTAAAGGCATCAGTATTAAATTGAGATTGTTTCCTAAAGAGTTGAAAACTTCTTGTAGTAAAAAATATGTTCCTCAAAATTTGGTGAACCAACCCTTTAAACCTAGTGAGAGTCACTGAGCTATATCCAATACATGAACTATAATAAAGCCTAATATGTGGCACTTTGAGGTGCATTACATTCAAATGGATCTTTGGAGAAGCTGTGCTGAACGCTGTACTATGTGTTACAACAATCCCTCGCCTCCTCCACAAGAAATGAGGATATGGAATTAGGGCAGTCCAAAAAAAGAGATTGGAATAGAAAGATGAGCGCCGAGGCTCCAGGGTCTGGTCAAAATTACCTCAGTCTGCTCCTCAAATGAACGCAAATGTGTCCTCACAGCTCTGCTAAAAGCACCAGACAGAGGCTGCTCACTGGCACTCACACCCTTGCACACAAGGCCTTGAATAGCACAGTGCATTAGCTTTCAACTGCATCACTTTGAAGTGACAGGAACATCTGAGTATTGACTCACAAACTAGTTACCACTCGATCCGGGCATCACACACATTCTTCTGCGAAGAATAGCTGAAAAAGATTGATTTTTGTTCTTCTTCTCAGAGGTGATTTGAACTGTGTGAGAATCTGAATATCTCGACAGAAATCATCAAGTCTTTAGAGGAGCGACAAACAAGAGCCTGTGCGCCTCGCAAAGCCCCCAAGTGGCTTTTCAAAGCCCTCTGATTTCAAGTTTCTGTTGGGATCAAGAGGCTTCTCAGACAGCCATTTA